CGATTGTTGATTATAATAAAATAGCCGTCTTTATATAATATCTGAGTTTTTGAGCAAAAATTTTTTATGATTTATTTTTTGAAGAACAGATTTTTAATCAAATGAAATTTTATCTAAAAAAATGCCAAAATTTTTTTAAAAATTAATTTAAGTAAATTTTTTCTAATTTTCATGTATAAAAAAAACTTTCAAGATAAAAACAAAAATTTTTTTAAAACAAATCTTATGGATAATTTGTGTTCAAAATTTTTAAAATATGATTAGAACTTCTAAAAAAAATCGTTTAAATATTGTTAAAGTGCCTATACTAAGGGGGACCAGGACTTAGAGGTCAGCATTGGGCGGGGTAGTGAGCGGGCAAAAACAATTTTAAAAACGGGTAGGCGGGCGGATTAAAAATTTTTTTTTAAACTATGGGTGTGGGGGGGGGGAGGGGGTTAAGAAATTTAAACAGTGGGCGTGCGAGTTAAAAAAATTTAAATCATTTAAGTAAATATTAATAAAAAATTGTTCCTATGAACTTTTTGGGATATTAAAAATTAATATGTCCTATTTTGGTATCAAGAAAACTTTTTACTTAAAATAAATAAACTTTTTTGTATATTTAGAACTAGTTTGGTGAAAACGACAAGAGATTTGCCAAAGCTATCAAGATTAGCAAAAAAAATATTGGCAATTTTCTGAATGAGGATTTAGCATTGATGGAAGGTTTTTAGAACAAAAAAGAATGTGTTTGAATCCAGAAAACTATACATTATTATTTTTGCATTATTAATTACATATTTATATCATAAATATTTTATTTGATCAAATAAATTTACAATAAATTAAATATTGTTTTATGCTTAATATAGTCATTTTCTAAAAAACTTTATGTAGAGGTGTAATGCTGAATTTTTTTTAATAGAAGCAAAGAAAGCCATAATTAAATTTTATAATAGCAGGCTTGGATTCCCCCGAAAACTACTCGCCCCCTATGAAAGAAGCTTAATTTAAATTATATTCTTTTAGAATCGTATTTAGCTTCATAAGATAAGGCAGATAATTTGTTTTTTGATTTAAAAAAAAATGATAACATAGTAAAATTTTTAAAAAAAATAATTTTTTACATGACTAAAATACGCGCCCCTACGTGCCCCCTATTAAAGAAGCCTAATTTATAAAAAATGAACGTAGAATCATATAGAGCTTATTAAAAGGTTTAAAAAAATGTTAATATTATATTTTAAAACTTATTATAACCTAGTAGGCTTTTGAAAAACAAATTTTTTTTTGACTAAACTACTCGCCCCTACGCGCCCCCTATCAAAGAAGCTTATTTCATAAAAAATTAAAGCATAATCGTATTAAGCTCATTAAGAGGAATCAAAAAATGTTAATATTAAGTTTATAAATAATTAATAACTTATAGAGATTTGGAAAAAACACTTAATTTCTTCTTTTTTGACTAAATTACGCGACCCCTACGCGCCCTTGTTAATTATACATTATTTTTAAAAAATGAATACAGAATCATGTATAACTTTTCAAGGAGATTCAGAAAATGGTATTATTTATTTTTTTTAAAAAAAATGTTTATATTATCAAAATAAATTTTTTTTTGACTAAACTACGCGTCCCTATGCGCCCCCTATCAAAGAAGCTTATTTCATAAAAAATTAAAGCATAATCGTATTCAGCTCATTAAGAGGAATCAAAAAATGTTAATATTAAGTTTGTAAATAATTTATAGCTTATTGAGATTTGGAAAAAACACTTAATTTTTTTCTTTTTTGACTAAATTACGGCCCCCTACGCGCCCCTCGTTAAATATATATTATTTTTTAAAAATGAATATAGAATCATGTATAACTTTTCAAGGAGATTCAGAAAATGGTATTATTTATTTTTTTTAAAAAAATATTTATAAAATTTTTGACTAAACTACGGGCCCCTATGCACCCCCTATCAAAGAAGCTTATTTCATATAAAATAAAAGCATAATCGTATTAAGCTCATTAAAAGGAATCAAAAAATGTGAATATTAAGTTAATAAATAATTTATAACTTATTGAGATTTGGAAAAAACACTTAATTTCTTCTTTTTTTGACTACGCGCTCCCGTTAAATATATATTATTTTTAAAAAATGAATACAGAACCATGTATAACTTTTCAAGGAGATTCAGAAAATGGTATTATTTATTTTTTAAAAAAAAATATTTTTATAAAAAAATTTTTTTGACTAAACTACGCGCCTCCTATCACACCCTTCTACTTCACCTTTATCGATTTTAAATAGGCGTTCGATAATGTCAACTATGATGCACTCTGGAAAACATTATAAGAGGTTGGAATTGACCCAAATATTATCATGATATTACGACACCACTATAATAATCTGTTTACCACTTGCAGAGTAAACAATAAAGTTTCTCAACCATTTAGGATTAGGAAAGGAGTAAAACAAGGCTGCGTCCTTTCACCAGTCCTCTTTAACATAGTAATGAACAAAATTCTAAAAGACACATTGGGCGCGGCTAATCTACTGGAACTTAACACATCAATGAGTAATATGTTTCATCTAGAGAATAGAATTATTTCCTACGCTGATGATGTGGTAATCATTACAAAGGACCTTGAGGAAACCGTGAATCTCATTCAATTGTTGAAACTGGTAAGCTTGAAAGTTGGGTTAGAAATAAATTTTAAGAAAACTATGATTCTCTTAGCAAGACACACCCTCCTATAGAGAATATTGATATCGGATCGGAGACGATCAAGGTGGTTACTCAAATAAAATATCTTGGAATTACCTTGGATAATAGAGGGGGATGTAAAGAGGAACTCAGGTTAAGATTACAAAAAGCCAGGGCAGCTTTCTATAAGTATTTCAAGCTTTGGAAGACGAGAGAGATTCCTACCTTCACTAGACTACGCATCTTTAATTCAACGGTGATTCCTGTTCTATTATGAAACATGGGAAATCACTAAAGCAGACAACAGAAAATGCCAGACGTTTCTTAACAAGTGCTTAAGGATAATTAACGGCGTCTTCTACCCTAGACTCACGAAAGATTATGGAGACAATCAAAACACACTCCGTTCCACATCATACTCAAGAAAAAACGAATTCAATTTTTAGCCCACATAGACATCCTAACAGTAATCTGGTTCATGACGCTTTAACTTGGCTCTTTACCTGTAGAGGTAAATCATACAGCAGATACAAGACGTTATGGTTTCACCTCGTTTTGAAAGATGTTGCTGATCTGAATATAAACTTGGAAACAGTTCGTTAGATTGAATAACAATAAAAATTCTATGAAAAAGCTTCTTAAGATTAAATTTAGGTACCTAAGATGAAATTCCTCATCCTTACCAAACCTTTCTCCCCCTTTATCTACTTGAATACCTTTATAGTACAGGTTTCTTTTCTCTTATTTAATAATTACATTTTATTAAAAATGACTCGCTAAATATAAACTTAAACGAGCCTCCCCCTTTCCAATAATGATTAGATACAAATAGGATTATAGGTATGGGTGTGGGCTGTCGTTTTAGGCCTTTCCCTCTTAATCAGCCCACAGACGTTTAAATGATAGTCCTCGGACTATTGTGCGTACAAGTACGTGCGGCTTGCCCACATAGGTGTAAAGGGCTTCTCATATTTTCTTCGACCCGATAACTTTAATAATCCAGTTAGATGGAAATGAGAAAAACCTAGCGTAGCTCTGTTGTTCCCACAACGTTGAGAGGGCGAATGCGCTTTATCACGTATCACGTAAAGAAGCTTATTTCATAAAAAATTAAGGCATAATAGTATTAAGCTCATTAAGAGGAATCAAAAAATGTTAATATTAAGATTATAAATTATTTATAACTTATTGAGATTTGGATAAAACACTTAATTTCTTATTTTTTTGACTAAACTATGCGCCCCCGTTAAATATACATTATTTTTAAAAAATGAATAAGAATCATGTATAACTTTTCAAGGAGATTCAGAAAATGGTATCATTTATTTATTTTTTTATCGAAAAAATTTTTTTTGACTAAACTACGCGCTCCCTATCAAAGAAGCTTATTTCATAAAAAATTAATGCATAATCGTATTAATCTCGTTAAAAGGAATCAAAAAATGTGAATATTAAGTTTATAAATCGTTTATAACTTATTGAGATTTGGAAAAAACACTTAATTTCTTCTTTTTTTGACGGGAGTTTAGTCAAAAAAAGAAATTAAGTGTTTTTTCCAAATCTCAATAGTTATAAATTATTTATATTATTATTACATTTTTTTTGATTCCTCTTAATGAGCTTAATACGATTATGCTTAAATTTTTATGAAATAAACTTCTTTGATAGGGGGCGCGTAGTTTAGTCAAAAAAAAAATTGTTTTTCAAAAGCCCACTTTAACATTTTTTTAAACCTTTTAATAAGCTCTATATGATTCTACGTTCATTTTTTATAAATTAAGCTTGGGCACGTATTTTAGTCATGTAAAAAAATAATTTTTTTAAAATTTTACTGTTTTACCATTTTTTTTTAAAATAAAAAAAACATTTTCTGCCTTATCTTATGAAGCTAAATACGATTCTAAAATAATATAATTTAAATTAAGCTTCTTTCATAGGGGGCGCATAGTTTTTGGGGGCACGTATTTTAGTCATACCCAAAATTTAAGACTAATGGGTGGGTGGGCATATTTTTTTGAAAACTTTGAATGGGTGGGTGTGTTAAATTTTTTTTAAATATATAAGTGGGTGGGATTATGATCCAAAACCCCACCCAATGCAGACCTTAACCAGGGCAAGTCAGCACAAGGGCCTTGAGTTGGGCAGAGAAATGTTTAGAAATTCAAATAATTATGTATAATTGATGCAAAAAAAATAAAATGTGTTTTTTGGAGAAAAATTTTTTATACCCAAAGTTGGCTTGAAAAAACAAACATTTTAAAATCTGGGTCAGGTCTGAAATTTTAACCCCTGCTATAAATAAAATATAATTGATTATTTTTACTGTCAAATAAAATATCCATATTTGGTCATCTGAATGATATACTGGCAATTCTTTAAATTTTGTCTCCCTGAAATGAAATAAAAGAACATTAGCATTCGATAAAAGGGTCTTATTATTTGAAATCATGCATGATGAATATTTGCAATTAATAAATGGGGTTCTTCCTAAATCTTTAAGATACCAAGTATTAGATAGGCCAAATGAGGTCCATAATAATATATTCTTCGGTTTTTCAAATTCAAATGTTATATTGTTAATTAGAGCTATATTTGATCCATTTTGACTTTTAGATAAATTAGATGTAGCATGATTTTTTAACAGGTTAATGCTGTAGGACAAAAATGAATTATCATGTGATTTTTTATAAACGTCAATAAAATTTAATACATAAGCAGAATGTTTTAATACTTTTTCATTTTGAAAAATCGATATTGTAAAAAAGATTCCTGTAAATATATAAAATATTATCATTTTGTTCCTATCTTTAATTAAAATCGGTGTGTTTATCAACAATTTATTTAACATAATAAAACTAACAGTAAATGATATATCCCTGATTTTTTGCAAGAAATTCAAAAGTATTTTTCGTTGCAAAATTAGACATATGTTTTTCATGGATAGGTGCGTGCATTATTAAATTCTTATTGTTATAGTGCAGCCAATGATGTATATAAAATAAATAAATATATTGGCAATTCATGCAATAAATGCATGAAGGCATTACTTTAACAATAAACGAAGCCAATAGATTAAAAATTTGAGATATTATTTTCTTGAGTTGATGTTCACAATTTGTTTTTCTTCTGCTTGTGTAAAAATTTATGATGATTCATGTAATTTTTAAATGATTCTAAATGGCATCTGTATTAATAAAATAAAAAAATTATATATGTTAAATTAGATATATAGTACAATTAACCAGGAATCGAATTTATTTAAACATATGCTTTTAGTAAAATATTAATATTTTGCATACTAATCAATTCAATATGATTAAAAACATTACAATTTTCAAATGATTCGAATATTATTCATTAGAGGAAAGTGTTATTTGCTATGATTCTTTTCTTTTAATTTTAATGAAATAAAAATAAATATCATATATATTATAATATATAAGCATGTAAATTTAGTTCTCATAATTATAATTTTATTGTGGTACTCCTAAGATAATTATACTCTGTAAGGAGAATAAATTTATTTTAAAAAAAATTATAAATAATCAAAACATTATTCAAATTTATTATCTCTTTTGGTTTTCTATTTATCAAAATAAAATTGATATTCTATTGAATTCTTGATAATTTTTATATATCATTTTCAATTTATTATTCGCTTATAAAAATTTATTAAACTCAATAAACTTCCAAAAACTCATATTAGGAATATGAAATGGAGGCCATTATGAATCATATTAAATTTATATAATACCTTTTTAGATGCTTGGTAAAATTGTAAAAGTCGAGCTATTTATAAATTGTCGAATTATTTACACTTGGCAGTTAATCTATTGTGATGTGTGAGAGCTAAAAAGTTTGATTTAGGTAAATTTTTTTAAACAGCCCGATTTTAGCTGAAATAATACTATGTAGACCTCGAAATTTGGCAAATGGCATCTATGAGTACGATGTTGGGTGCAGAATCTACATGGTCGGGGAATGAGGAACATTTTTATTGGGCGGTAAGGGTAGACATCTAATGCCGGCAGGTTAGGGATAGATTAAATTTTTTGGAGCGTTATCAATAATATTTTAGAGAAACTAAGGCAAAATAATTGTAAAAATTTATTTAATACTTTTAAAAATATACAAATAATCCTTATAATTATCCAATTGTACCCGTGCAAAATTTGATTACCATAAACTCGTAGACCAGTTATTTATATTAAATATGATGTGTATTGTATTGGTGTTGTTAAAAGGTTCGATTTGAGCCTATTTTTAAAAACGGCAAACTCAAAATTTTATCCAGAAAAATTTTATGCATGCCTAAAAATTTTAGTCATAGATTGCACAAAGGTTTGGACATCTATTAGAAAAATATCGAATCTTAGGAAATATTTTTCTGGCTAAAATATTGAGTTAGCTGTTTATAAAAGTCGGTTCAAATCAAGCTTTCTAACAATTCTATATTGGATGTTTTTATATATTTTTTTTTTATAATTAGCATGTAATATTTTTCTAAATATTTTAATAAAGTGTTAATATTTTCTGCATATAAAGTATTAAAAAAGTTTTTCGAGAGAGAAAATATAAATTATATAATTAATCAGAATTAATAATTGCAAGAAATTTGAAATAAGCTGTTGGGTAGTATTGGTTCTTTATTTTATAAAGGCTAAATTCCTTATTGCAAACAGTAATACTTTCTATAATAATCAGTATACTATTGACATTTTTTATTTGTTATAAGGATTAATTCATTTCTTGTAATAAAATTACCCTATATCACTCACAGATGGCTAGCCTGATAATAAAATGAGAAAAATAATTATTATGTATTATTGTTATACTAAAAATATTTATTATATTAATATAGACCATGGATATAGTAATAGTTTAAATAACATATTAAATTGATTAAATAATTTCTATATTTTTAAACATTGTGATTAGATTGAATATTATTATAAATACTTTTTATTAAAATATTTATGGCAAAATTTAAATATTTACGTGATACGTGATTTATAGTGTTTTTGCCCACTGACGTTGAAGGTTCAACAGAAATATGATAGGTATCTCATTTCCTTCTAACTGGAAATATATTAATTTAGATGAATAATAGAAAATGAGGAGCTCTCTGCGCGTGTTAGTACATCAGTACGAAAACAGATGCTTAAACGTCTATAGACTAAGGGAAAGAATTGTGCAAAGCAAAAGCCTATACCCGAGAACTACAGTATAATTTAATTACCTTAAGGGTGGGAAGTGAGTGATTTTAAGTATAAATTCCTTTGTGCAAGTCTTAATTGATTACTATCGATATTGAAATGTTTAATGTATCATATCCATTTAATTTCGATTTATCTACATGCAGAAGTTGAGCTTGTTCGTGACATCTACTGGAGTTATATTTCATAAAAATATTGTCATTCGCAAGTAATATTGAGTTGAGATAAATTTTTGGATATTGGCTTTTATTTATCGCTCATTTATATTTATAAAAATAGTTTTAATAGATCTCTTGTAATTGTTTAGTTTGATAAACCATTTCACAATATTTAATTCAATCACATCTTTAATGATTCTGCAGTACCACAGTTTGAACTTTGTATACTGTTTTCCTTAATTTATGTAAAGCTACATGATGGCATCGTGTATCAGATTGTGGCGGCTGAATACCTTATTGCTAGCTAGGAACTGGGTGTGGTGTTTTTTAGTCCTATTTTAATTGCCGCTTAATTTTATGTTTTCCAGAGATTGGCATCTGATATGATTTTTGGATAGAAGATACCATTTATGATTTTTATGAAAATTATTAATAAAGGATTTTAGTCGTCTGCTTTCTGTTTTGTTTATTTCCCATATGTCCCCTCCATAAAATAATATGGGAGTTATTGTCGAGTTAAAGATGCGTAATCTGTTAAATACGGAGATTGTTTTCCATAATTTTATTCGCTCGCATTCTCTTTGCAACTGCCCTTATTTTCGAAATAACCCTGAAGTACTTAATTTTATTTACTATTTCACTGTGTTGGTACTTAATTTAGGAGTGGTGGTGCCTATGGAGAGAAAAGGATAACCATTTTGTTGGAATTTATTTCTAGTCCTACCCTATGGCTCAAGGTTTCTAAGAGGTAGAAAAAGTTCTTACTTCTTAATTTCTTCGATATTCTTGGATATCACTACTATATTATATCCATCTGCATATGATATTTATTTTCTAGATGTAGCACATCGTTTGATTCCATATCCATTCAGATCAGCCATGCCAAGTGCTTCTTTAGTAACTTTATTTATTATAATGTTAAACTATAGTGGAATACTTCTTTTTTATCCTGAAAAAAGAAGATACTTTATTATTAATTTTAAAGCATGCAAATTAGTTACGGTAGTGATGATCTAAAATATAAATTATATTGGGTTCTATGCCACACACTCTAACAGAGTTTCCGACAGAGCTCTGTGATTAACATTATTGAAAGCCATTCTAAAGTCTATAAAGGTGAAGTAAAAAAGTAATTTATATTTGCAATATTTTTTTAGGATATTTTTAGAGATAACATCGGCTGTTGGAAGTTTTTGCCGGGTGTATACGGACATATGTATTTGGGGGAAATATAGAGTGTGGATGATAGGAATATGTTTTTTAAGAGGACCACAAAAATTATGAGACAGAGGATGTAAGGGCTAAGACCCGGTAAAACATTTTTGTGAATAGTTTGTTTTAGGGAAGCTACATAAGAAGGATGCGTTCCATTCCAAGAGAGTTTATCCGCTTTCCCATATTTTATCAGAGATGGATATGTAAGAAAATATATTGCTGCGATTTTTAGATATTCCGCTGAGATGTTGTCAAGAAACGGGGCCTTGTTTTTCCTTAGTTTTTTGACGATTTTGGATATTTTATCAATAGAAAAATCAGGGGGTGGGCAGAGTTTATGTTTATTGGTATGAGTAGAGTTGCCTTCCTTGATCAAATGCAATCACATAAAATCATACAGCAATTTGTTTGTTCTTGTCTATGATTACCTAGCCTTTCCCTAACACCATAGAGGGGAGCTTCTTAAAACTGTAAGGTTTGCAGAAATATTTAAATTTTTTATAGGCGTCGTAGATTCTATTTTCTTTCTTGTCCTTATCTATATCAAATGCTTTTTTTGCAATGTAGATCCTTCCATCGCTTCGAAATAACTTATTCTTTTCCATAAGTAGCTATTAGAGCCATCGTTCACTCTAAGTTAATTTATCATTTGTTCCTGGAAAACTATTTACGTTAGGCAGGCAATTTTATGATTCTGCTAGATTACCTTTAAAAGTTTCCAGCATTCCTCGACGGTTCCATGCTTAGTTTTATTTAGGAAGTTTGCCTTTTGTCTTCGAGGGTTTGCAAATTCCTGAGCATGTAAATTTAATCTTCGATTGATTTGTGCTGGGTCTAGTAATATTTTGGCTATAATATTGAAAATTCTTCATATATTTATCACAGTTATCTTAGCTACTATTGGGATCAGAT